TTCAATCTATTTCTTTTGTGATTATCTAATTTTTTTTTAAAAAATATTTTTTTATTGGGATGGTGCTTGATTTTATAAAAAATAATTCAATTTTATTGTTTGGAAAAAAATAAAAAAAGGAGAGGATCAAAACTAAAACAAAGAACAAATAGGAGGGTTTTTTTTAGTATAAGAATTTGTGTCACAGCCTTCGGGGATTTTGCCAATTGTATTTGTTCTTTTAGTTTGAAAATTAAATAGTTAAGTCCAAAACTTTATTTAATATTTTTAAAATACCAAATTATTCTAGAGTTAACTTGTTAATTATATAAAAAAAAAGATGAAATGCAAAAAAAGAAAAAAACTCATGACGCAAGCCTAAGAAAATTTGACATTTAAAGGTAATTTAGTAATTTTAATTCTTAAATTAAAATCAAATTCCAAAAAAGCCTTTAGAAACAAGTAAGAGTATTTAGTAATTTTAAAGGTAAAATAATTATTTTACTACAAAAATTAGGATATACACGCAATTAATATCTAATATCTTTTAGCTTTTGTTTTAATATATTCAGTATCTATAAGCTTTTGATTTTCTCTTCAAATTTCTACGATAAAGCTTTAAGAGAAATGAATGATAAATTGGTGGGATTAGATTCTGAGGTGCATAAATATAACTTGATTCATTTGAGACATTATACTTTTCTACTAAAAGTACGTCGAAGTGACCATCGAGATTTACTGTTTATAAGCTTTTTTCTTTCTTTCTTATCAATTTCCCTCGTTTTTCTCACTCTCCCCTTTTTATATTTCAATTGTCTCTTGTTTTGTTTTTATAAATTTTTTTTAACAGTTATTGAGGATGTTTCTGGATAAAAAATTTAACAGTTATTGAGGATGTTTCTGGATTGATAAAATTAATTCAAGATGATTTTTATATAATTTAATTTTAAATTCAGGTTAGGTAAAAAGTTAAATTAAAAAAGTTTTTTTTGTTAATTTTTTTTTTTAATTTCATCTTTAATTTTCTTTTTTATCAGTCGGTCAGGTTACTTTTAGAAAGACCAAATCGATTGAATTATGTCGGGACAACTCCTATACAGTTTAATTTTAAACCTAGGCTAAACAAGAAGTTTGGTCTTGAAATTTTTATTATTTGAATTTCATTATTATACTTTTTTTTTTTACTTATCAATCAAGATGTTTTTGAACTGACTAAGTTGATCAGGTTATATCGAGGTAATTTTTATATTATTTATTATTAAATTTAAACTAAGTAAGAAGTTTTAAGATTAGCTTGTTTATCAGAATTTAATAAAAATATCAAATAATTTTATATATTCTCAATATCTTTTTAATATATTCATATATTTTTTTAATTTAACTTGCAATATAGCGTTTAAACTAGTCCAAAACTATAAAGAGTATATTCTAAAGAAAACAATCAACAACAAGGACTTAACATTTAGTTTCAACATATATGTCTCTTCTTTCACTTGCTGTTTTGACAATGAAAAACTACACATACAAAGACAATCATCCATGGAATTGGAAACAAACATGAATAGCTGGCCTCGTTGTCCTTTTGGTAAACTTAGACAAAGAAGGATCAGAGTCTTGTGATCAGCACAATAATCAACACACAATCTCACCAATCATCAACTTACTTGGACCTTTAGCCACCTTGCCTTCTTGTTTTGCTCGATACAGCTAGCAAATACGATGCTTCAAATACTGCTGACCTTCTCACCAGCGCTTTCATCAGCCAAGTAAGGTTTAGTAGTGTTCTGGCCATTCTTGACTGGGTATGAAGATTCCATTGCAATCCCACATCTGCCAGTGTGTGTCGTGGACGTTACGTTGCACCTTGATGTATCCATGCTCGCCCCATTCTGTGCCCCATGAGCTCCTAACAAGCCAATAGTCCAGTCCTTTCTCCGTGCCATATCCAGCAACAACAACACCATGGTCTAGAGCTGTCCCACATTCACCAGTGAACACTCTCTGAGTAAATCAAAAGAGAACGAACAGGTTTACAAATTCAAGTGTTAAAAGCCAGAAATAGTTAGTTTTAGGAAGCATGAAGAGTGAGTCACTTACAGACTGGTAGAATTGTAAGGCCATGCCACTGGCTTCAATGGCAACGCTAACTGGCTGATGTGCCACAGCTTTCTGCAATGCTTTCTCGTCAAAAGGCAAAACATCTTCAAACCCATCAATGCTAACAGCCTTGGTTTTCATCTGCGAAATTAAAAACAGGCAACAACCCCATAAACGTTAACCGCAAACAAAACAAAACCCAATACTCTGTGCTGATTATAATTCGGATGTGTACGCCAACCTTGTCTCTGTCACATGTATCATCATTGCCTAGATATAGATAGTCCTTTTCGGTGTCCAGGCCACCATTGTTGATAATGAATTGGAACGCATAGTCCATGAGGCCTCCATTGCAACCTGCATTATAGAACCTGTCACAGTCTACAAGTTCCTGTTCTGACAGAGAGATTAGCTCCCCTGTTACAATCTGGTTTATTCCTTCCACTGCAGCTACTGTTGAAAAAGCCCAACAACTACCTGCATGCATCGACAATTTCTGTCACTTTGATTGGCTGGCCATGATCCAAGTTCTATTTACTTGTGTTTTAGGCCTTGCCCAGGTCCAACAAGAGTGAAGGCAAGTGCCAAATCACCCGACTTTTCTCAGAAACTAGGTGGTAACTCAAAATTTTTAAGATTTGACGTGAGCTGTGATAAGGCTGTCCGGCTAATGTGATTTCTCTGTGGATAAATTTCAATTTGATTGAGATTTATCTTTATGTATATTGTCTCTTTTCTAATATTTGTTTCTAATTTATTTTAATCATCCCCACATCTTTTCTTTTTGTTCCAACCAATTCTCATATGTTTTACTTGTATTCCACTTTTTTCCTCTTACTCAATTTCATCCTTTAAATCTAAGAAATATCTTAAAATCATTTAAGTAAAAGAGAGAGAGATAATTGGAATTAGCAAAAATAAAAATGAAAAATTAATAGAAATTTTATTAAAAAAATATGATAAAACTTGAGAGAGATAATATTTCAAGTTCTTAAACCCTACCACCAACTTTAATTCTCACTTAATAACATTATTTTTTCATTTATTAATACTATATTTAAATAAAAATCAGAAATCAAATTAACTTAACTATTTCTTATTTGTTTTCATAAAAAAAAAAAAATCATTCCAACCAAGAGATAAAAACCCTACTAATCAAAACTATCATACAAAAAAAAAAATCATTCCAACCAAGACATAAAAACCCTACTAATCAAAACTATCATTTTTCATGTCTAGAAAAATAACAAGCATTGTACCACTAACCCAACTTCTACGAATTCGATTTCAGTCACAATGTAACATGGTATCTTTAATTTAAAACTTGAGTTCAAACAACAAAAATAAAATTTATGATCCAAATGAATATGGGGTGCAATTATAGATTTGTATTGTGATTGTGATTTGGCCATGAAACCTTCCTTCTACTAAAAATGACATCTATTACGAAAAAATAGCTCACTTGGTTGTTAACTTTTCCCTCCCTAAAAGAGGACTCTTGAGCTAATAATTTTTCTTGAACAAGACCAAGATGATGAAGAAGAAGAAGATGTATATATATATATATATGATCAAGAAACAAAAGTAAATGAATTATATATTATACCACAACTTCCTTGATCTTTGATCAGATTAATAGGTTGTTTTCCTCTCCAATCCATAGATTCTGACAGCTTGTCTCTAGCTTTGTAAGCGTACCTTTCCCTCGGGTTTTTGGATTTCATTAATCTACACTTTAGGTCACTCCTCATGCCTAAGAACATGACATACTGTTGGTTGATAAGGTCAGCAGAATTGATCAAACCAACTTTGTACATACAGTTTTGAAAGTTATGTTTATTGGTGAATCTTAAATTATTCTTAAAAATTTCTTACTTTTTTGCTTTCTCTCCTAGCCTGTTATATGCTTTACCATGCTTTTGAAGCTACCATTTGTATATACTCATCATCGCTTCTTTAGCTCAACTGATCATGGTTTAGGTGATTGTTGTCATTGTTAAAAATTGACATGTCCAAGACATATGATATAGTAAAGAAAAAAAAAGAGAAGGGTTGATATGGCGAGTGCCATACTTGGTATTGCTAAAGAAGAATTAATATTGGTTTGAAGAAAGAAAAATGGTGAAGGAAAAGAGCTCTTATGAAGAGGAGGAGGGAGCTCTGTAAGTTTATAAAGACAAGAAAATTAATGATCTTGATCTTGATCATGATAATCCAGGTATGGTTTTTATTTGCAATTGAAACCATGTCCTGTAAAGATAGGAATAAGATGACGCCTTATGTTTGTTTTGTGGGTTGTTTTTTATCATTAGAAATACAAGACCAAACCAAGCTTTCAGTTGGCAATTATAAATAGTATTTGTTAGTTTTCTTTATCCTAAAAATCAGTTGAAAGTAGTTGAACATGCAATGAGAAATTCAAGTCTTTTTATCATCACAAATTATGTTTAAATCAACTTATAACTAATTTTACAGACTCTGAAATTATGATTCTAAAATTTATAAAACTTAGCTTTCAGTTGGCAATTATAAATAGTATTTGTTAGTTTTCTTTATCCTAAAAATCAGTTGGAAGTAGTTGAACATACAACGAGAAATTCAAGTTTTTTTGTCGTCACAAATTATGTTTTTTTATTATTAACTTAAGTATTCAAATCAATTTATAACTAATTTTATAGACTCTAAAATTATGATTCTAAAATTTATAAAACTTGAATTGATAATCTTTAAAATACAAATTCAAAGTCTCCAATTGAACTATTGTTTTTGTTCGCTCACCTCAAGATTTTCAACTGTAGACATGGAATCTTAACCATTCCTCTGTAGTGCAGGTCAAGATTATGTTTCATGTTGGACAGCCAATTTTACATTTGGCCAAAATCTCCAAGGTTCACTCTTTTTGTATCAATCCAGACAAAATGGGAGAAGCACATCACAATCATCGTCATCATGCTTGCAAGAAACGAAAAAAATTTATTACAATGAGGTTCATTTTTACTGAATCCAGCAGCTAAACAGACTCTAGATTCCTATTTAGAAGATTATGTATGAAATTTGACGCTTATCAGATACAAGAACCTGGTGTTTCTTGGCAGCGGAGGCAAGGAGACTGTGATGACATACCTTATCCATAGAATATCAACAAATCAACCCCAACATATAGAAAAGAAAAGGAAAAAAATAAAAGAAGCAAAACAATGGTGGATTCAAGCTCCGACGAACATTTTCAACTGGCCTGGCTTTAATGAATTTCTTTTCAGATGTACTTGCCACCCACCTGGTAATTAAGATCGTGTGCCTTTTGCTTTATCAATAAAATATCTTCATCCTGAAGGCCAGCAGTGTCAAATTCACAAGGCAGTATCTCTGATGTGTGCTCAAGCTACCATTTCAATTTTGTTCAGAATGCCTTGCAGAAACCTGTGTCTCCACCAACACTGCTTCATGCTTTCTCTTACTTCTTGAACTGCGTTTTGATCTGGGTGATCGAGTCTTTGAAGAACGCTTAGCAGTCTGTTCTTGGTTACCTGATATCTTTTCATTGGAAGGCAGTTCAGGAGGGGCATCGGGCCATGGTGTTCGCTTCGATGGCACAGTAATTTCCAAAGGTGGGTCAATTATCCACCTGTAAGCAAAAGGGGTGAGAAACTATTTAGCATTCCCAAGATTATATTCCATGATAAATAAATAAATATAAAAGGAGCAAACTAGTGGGCACTAACTCATAGCTAGATACAGAAGGTTTAGCAACATGAAACTGTTTGCTTGTGGAGATTTTGCAAAAACTCAAATGGTGGGGATAACTATAAAGCTACAAATCAGTACCAAGAAAGGATTACTTAAATTTTGAAGCCTCTTGTATAATTATAAAGCTACAAATGAGCACCAAAAAAGGACTACTTAAATTTTGAAATCTCTTCTTCAAGTAGCCAAGCACCGTCATCCTCATGAAATGGACTGGGCTCAGGTAAACACTCCAGTGGATGGGAACAAGCTAGTATTGAATGAAAAGGAGCATTCTTATTTTATCAAAACAAATAAGACAGATTGCAGCCGGTGATACAATAATCATCGAAAGTTTTCTATTGACAAGAGGGCACAAGTGCTTGAGAACTTGGGTATAATCACATAAAGAAAGATTATCGATGTTTTATGTGGGGATGTTTTTTGATATGAGCTGAGAATAAGGCACATGATTCAGCCTTTATATTTTGAAGAAACACATGCCAACCACTGGCAAAATATTCAATATTTAAAGAATTAAACAGTTGTAGAAACAAGGTTAGTTGAGTTCCTTCTCTAGCTCATGGTAAACCCAGTTAGGTTTGTAAATACCTGAGTTTTGCACACAAAACATGAGATAATAAGAAGTTCAGGAAGGATTTTCAGTTGAACAATTACAATTCTCTAGAATTTTACATCAAATCAAATGCTAGTTAGTTGTGAAGCAAGACTGAAAATTTCAAAGAATATGTTGCGCAGCAAATCATGACTTGATAAGAAATTTAGCAAATAACTTAGTTAAACAACAACCATTTCTTTAAGATTTTACAGCAAATTAAATACTAGTTAGTTATGAAGCAGCCACTGAAGAATTCGAAGAATATGTTGGGATGTTTGCTCTGCACCAAAGGAAGTGATGTGTATGTTGTTGCTGTTGCCATTATTGTTAATATTGTCTATATAAACATATTTACCATATGTAAATACAAGCAAGTTACAAAGCTGGCACCAAACTAATGTAATGATATCAATTATTCCTTCCATAGGCAATTTTAGCAAAAAAGGTACTGGTAGGAATATAACTGATTTCACAATATTGGTTGGGTGACATATTTACAATTAGATCCATATAAGTAAACATGTAACGGGTAAGGTCAGCAAACCATGTATGTTGAGTTTGTTTGACAACTAGTAAATTAAGGTTGACAATGACGCATATACCTCCATTTAAATTAGACTATAAATGGCCATGTCAGGATGGCCTCAGCAATGAAATTGCGATGCAAAGCCCAGACTGGTATCAGTAAGAGTCTAAGACCATACTTAATGACACCCAGCCAGGTAAACACACATCACTACGGCCGAAGTATTTCTATGGAAAACCCATACTAATCTTGTAAGCCTAAACTAATGGGATATAGGTAAAGGAAGGAGAAGTTTTCAACATAAAGAGCATATGGTTTTCAACATAAAGAGCATATGCCGATTATGAACAGCCTGTCTACAAAATAAATGAGGCAGGTTTGTGCAGCTCCTAGAATGCCTAGGATAATGGGATTTGGATCAATAGACACATGCAACAGCGTTTGACATCTGTAGTGCCCTAGTTCCCTTAAGAATGAAGAAAGGTGAGTGTCAGGCTTCTCAAAAATATATTCCGTACAATGGAGAAAGGCTAAATTCTCTTGAGTGTTTCTCAAGTTATCACCAACTACTATTAATCTCTAAGTGAGCCCAGGTACCACCAATCTCTTTCAGTAGCAATAAAAGATGAATGTGATCTATTTCATCAACATTTAACAACACAATCATTCTAAAGCCTATACTTCAGACATCTAGTTGTTCACATTTTTCAGTAGCCTTGAGTCTATATTTTTTCACCAAAAGATGAATACTACTCCCTCTCTCTCACAAAGAGTGTCCTGTTTGACTTCACATGCATTTTAAGAAAACTCATTAAGCACAGTTCCAGCTCATTTTTCCCAACTGCCCCTTTATTCTTTCAGTAAGAAATGGTTATATTTGGAACTTTAAGGGTATACTAGGAAAAAAGTGATTGGTTCTTTAACTAGATATGTATTTTGGAATACCTTGAAATAGAATGATGGACACTCTTTGCCGGACAAAGAGAATGTTAAATCAACTACATTGTGGGTGCACAAAATTAACCAACTAGAAAATACAAAAACTGGACTATAACAATAGGCAATTCATGAAATCATGAAATAATTGCAATATCGTACTAATAGAACAACACATCTGTAAGCATTAATTAGTTAAATTAAATTTGATTAGAAATAAACCAACAAATTGTAATACCCTAATTAAATTTGCATAGAAATCAACCAACAAATTGTAATACCCTAACCCAAATATTTTTAGGCTAGAGTATTATAAGAACTAAATATACATATAATTTTATCTTGGACTTAGTGTGTGTGTGTGTAAAGGTAGCCCATTTAGTCCTATATTTATGTAAAAGAAAAGATGGAATCATAGAGTTTATCTACCCTAGTTTTACAAACTTTACAGTCTAGAGAAAACATAACCTCAAAGTCACTTGTTCTTCTATAGGTGCAAAGAATATTGAACCAGATTGACATTGAAGGATTGAAATTCCATTTTATTTTTCTTGATTTCAAGGTAAGAAATATGAATCTCTTTTATTTATAAAGATTTTGGATTGATTAAGGTTTTTTTCTATATGAAAGGAGCATAAAATTAAGAAATTTAAGTGGTATTTGTATGAATGACCAAATACAATAAGTATGATAGATTTTATGATATTGTAAGATCAATTAAGCGTGCTTAATTATTAGGTTAGCAATTAGGTATAATTGTGAGAAATTGCCAGTTCAATTGTTTGGCACAAGCTTCTGTTCGACCCAGACACAAGCTTCTGTTCGACCCAAAAACTGTATTGAATAGATGCAATTTTTTACCCAAATTTTATACATAAGAAAAGCTTATTCTGTCTAGTTTCTAACCATAAATGGTGCATTAATCTGATTTTTGTACAAATAGTTATGGTAAAAATAGTTAAGGAAGTGCAGGTTATCTGACAATAACCTCGAGGAATGATTTGGGAGCTTAATATAAATTCTATTTAAAGGAATTATTAGGTGAATTATATATGAACGGAAACAATTGAGACTAGTTTACAATCCAAAAAGCAAAATGAAATTCTAGATTTTCTAGGAGTTATGGTCAATTTATTAGGCAGTGTGTAGTTGACATTTATTAGAATCAAGTGTTGGAGGGATTTTAACGGATTATATGCTTGTGAATAGGTTGTTAGAGTTGAGCTTTTGTACTTTGGTTGTTTAAGCAATGGAGGTACGCACTCCTATGATTTAACTTCCTGGACCTCACTGTCTATAAATTTATGAAATTAGACACTGAACAATTAAAATGAATAGACAATGCTAAAGATAACCGCAAACTTATTCCAATTGATATTATCTAGAAAAATCGGCAATACAAAGAAAAGAAAAACTCACCCTGGAGGGAATTTGCTATCAGCACGAGCCTCAACACGGAGCCACCAGAGCAAAACTTGTCGCCCACAGCTCCCAAGTGGCTCCACCATGGAAGGATCCTTCAGCAGATCTAAAGGATTCTCTATATTCTCATCAACTAAATCCATGTCCTTAACCCATTCTGGTTTATCTTCAGCTTCCTTCCAAAGAAGCCTCGAATTCAACACAAACCCAGCCCACTCCAGCTTCCTAGGCAACACCGTAGCCCTATCATCAATATATACCGCACTCTTCCCCTCATACGGCAACGAATTAAACGTATGCCAACCAGCCAATTTGTTAGAAGCATTACAAGCCGGACCCTGAACAGGCACTACTGGATTGGGCAAATTTCCTTCCGCCTCCTTGTCAACCATGGCGGCAGCGGCAGCAGTTAATAACGTCTCATCAGCACCACCCGAATGAACAAGAATCCCAACTGAAACCGCACCAAACCACTTCACATTTTGTATCTCATCAAACAGCTCCATACTATGCATATTACTATCATCCGCAAACATTACTATTCCATCCATCTTCTCCTCTCTCACAACTCTGTTTCACAGCAACCAAAATTTACATTAAAATAAATAAAATAGTAAATCCATTATGTTTAATCAGCAATTCAATTCACTTTAAAGTTGACTGTGAAAAAAAAAACCTCAAAGCGCGAAGCCGCATTTTAGTCTCCAATCTGTGCCTTCCTTCCCAAGAATTCGGCATTTTCTGATTAAATCCAATATGAAGAGTCTTAACGCCGGATTTGGCAATAATCAATGCTGTTTCATTGGTGACCCCACCGGCCTCCACCACGATCCAGACGACGTCGTAGGGGAGCAACATCAGAGAATGCATGACACCAGTCATATGCAAAGTCTGGAAAGTCCGCACGTAAGTAGGCGTGACTACGATCAGACTCCTAGGACTCTTCACACCGAATTGATTACTCTGCTCTCTTTGAACTCTCTCTATTATCTGATGCGCCTTTATTACTTCACTGGGGTTCGGGTGCGGCCATGGGCGGATCCGGATCCCGTGCCGCCCGACAACAACTCTCGAACTCACCGTTTTGTTAATCACCGGAAGATCATTAGCAGTGTTGGTTAGGGGATTGGAAATGCCGGAAGTTTTGCTGAGAGGGTGAAGCGGTGTCGTTACGTAGAGAGGTGGGGCCGTGGAGGTAG